TTTGGCCGGATTAATTACTTTTTGTATATATACTTACTAATTAAAATCAAGATTATGGACCAAGAAAAGTAGAGATTTAGTTTTTGGTACTAAAAGTCAAGATTAGCCCCAACAAGATAAGGGTAATTCAGTAATTTAATTAATTTCCCCAATGAAACCCGTCATTTTTCCTCTATATATATATATATATTTTTTTTTTTTTTTGACAAAAATAATGGTTAGGAAGTTAGTATGAATTAATTGTTAGCAAATGAGGATTCGATCTCCAGACTGGGTGAACATTCCACCCATCAAATGAGGTGCGCGGCCATCAGGCCACTTTTTGATGAAATTTACGATGGTGGTAGAGCTCGAAACTTTGACTACCACCTCATCAAAGTATTTAAGATTTTGGGTCGAACCATTAGACTCAAAGGCCTGGTTCCATTTTTCCTCTATATAAATTCAAGTCATTTCATCATCTCATTCCTACGAACAGAATTGAAGGAAAAAAAAAAATGGAGAAGACCTTAATTGGTTTGATGTTCATCGCTTTTATCACAGCGGGTGCTACTGCTCAAAGTGCCACTAATGTGAGAGCTACTTACCATTTCTACTATCCTGCGGAGCACAACTGGGATTTGAATGCTGTGGGTGCCTACTGCGCAACATGGGATGCGGATAAGCCCCTGGCATGGCGCAAGAAGTATGGATGGACTGCCTTCTGTGGGCCTGTTGGTCCTCATGGACAAGCTGCTTGTGGAAAGTGTTTACTGGTAAGTTATAAGTATGTTTGTCAAGTTGATTTTTATAGGCTAGTTTGGTTGATTTTTCTCAGCTGACCTCTGGCTATAACTTTTTTGTTTTTTGTTTTTTTCCTCAAACAGTTAGCTTTGTTGTTGGAAACGAATTTTTTTATATATAGGGTAGTTTCAAGTGACAGATATCGACAAACAGTTAGTTAAAACTGTTTCTAACAATTAATTCAAACAAGTTTAAGGCTTTTATTTTGTGTTATAGGTGACTAACACAGCAACTGGAGCTCAAGTAACCGTAAGAATCATTGATCAGTGCAGCAATGGGGGTCTGGATCTGGATGCTAACGTGTTCAATCAGCTTGACACGAACGGCAGTGGCCATGCTCAGGGACACCTTATTGTGGATTACAAGTTTGTGAACTGCGGTGACTGAATTTTCAATATATATATATATAAGGTTAAATGTCATTTTTAGTCCTAAAATTTTTAATTTTAAATAGTTTTAGTTTTTAAATTTTATGTTTTACTTTTTTCATCTTTTAATTAGTTAGTTTGTTAAATTTGTCCATATATACACAGTTTTAGTCTATAAATTATAAGTTTAGAGACTAAAAATGTACACATGATATAAGTTTAAAAATTAAAAATATATATATACATGGACAAAATTAACAGACTAAACTAATTATAGAAGGACAAAAGAAATATATTTTCATGGTTTAAGAAAAAAATTATTTAAAAATTAAAAATATTTAAAATTAAAAGCTAAAGGACTAAAAAAATTTGCATTTAACCTGTATTATGAATAAATTTGTGTAAGAGCCATTTATAACAAATAATAAAGAACTTGAGTTTCTGCTTTTAAGATGCTAAATATTCATTCTGATTATTCAAAAATAAGAAAAAAAATATTTTGATTATTCTTGTTTCCACTGCACTAAATAAAACTAGTTTAATTTTCTGTCCCCCAGCAGGTCTTTCTAAGCTTGTTCCATCCTGCGGAGAATAAACAATTCTTTTATGTTAAGGAGAGCCACTATTTATGTATTTTTTTTAATATTTTTCATCATCCTCGACTTTCTGCTGTCCATAATTTCTGAAAGTAGTACGTGTACATGCTTCGGTATAAAGTTTAAATCTAGTTTAAAACTAATTGATTTTTCTAGGGACAATAGTTAATCTATACATTTTTTTTATATATTCTTTTCAATGTGAAATTCCTCTTCATATTTTCGATTTGTTATGGCAACAAATGAGCTTAATGTGCCTTCTCGTGTAAGTCAAATTGTTATGGGGTTTGATATTATATGAAAATTAACAAATAAATATAAGATTTATATATAAAACCACTTTTTTATGAGTAAAATAATTTTTTTTATATTTAATTCATTTATCTTTTTGATTTTTTTTAAATATAAAATTTATCCATTTAACATAATACAATGGTTTTTTTCACATTGAGAGTTAATAGCAAAGAAGTCAATACTGTACTAGTATACATACTAGTTTTCCTATTAAAACAATATATATCAGATATTAAAATTTTTTGTATATTGTTTCGAATTAATTGTTATAAATATATATTTTTATAAATTAAATATCAAATTTTAAAATATTTATAAGAGAAACTAACGTTTAAAATTATTATATTCCTATAAATTAAAAATAAGTTTTAAATGACCAACTTTATAAAACGTCTATAATTCTAGAGGTATATATCTATATATCTATATCTGATCTCTCACAGATATAA